ATCACCCAGTCTCAGGTATTTCTGTATAGCCTTGTGAGAATGGAGTAATACAAGGGGCTCGAGCCTGGGTCTTCTGGAAAGTCAAAGGGCGAGCAGAAGTGATGCTCCTGAAGGAGCCTAAGCCAAAGGTGACAGGACCATTGCTCAGCCTTTTGTGCAGCCACCGTGGGGAGAGGAGTTTGCTGGAGGTGTCACTCTGGAGCTGGCTGCAAATTCAGGCTGGGCCAGGGACATTCCTGGGTCATCTGTGCTGGGGGAAGGGAGGATGCTCTAGTGGAGACAGGAACAGGGTCAGGGAGGAAGGCAGGACCCAGGTGTGGCCTCCTTCATGAAATCTGAGGAGAGGAGATGCGGGAGAGGAGGACTGGGCACCACATCCAGCACAGCCACTCACGTAAAGTGGAGCCACAGTCCAGGAGGCTGAGGAAAGTGGCCAGGCTCCCGGCCACCTTCACTTGAGAACCAGGCTGGGACCGCAGGGGAGAAGAAGTCAGCACAGGGCTGGAGCCCTGCGGTCAGGGCAGTACTGTCTAGGCCCTTGAGGAGGACACGGAGGATGAGCTCAGATCCCAAGCCAGCCTCGGGTACACGGGCTGGGGCTGGCTCCTTGGCCTGTCAGTGGAGGGGAGGCTTTTGCCAAGAGGGAGGCTGCCTGTGGCCCAGGGCTCAGGAAGACTAATCCTAGACTTTGGGAGCTGGCAGGGACCAAGAGGGATCTTCCACTTGCCCTCATGATATGGAGGAGGCAACTGAGGCCTAGGGAGGGGGTTAGCCAGGAGAAGACCAGGACTTGGGCTGAGGTCTTGCAGCCTTCAGGGTGCCTCTCACCCCCCACGCTCCTGCTCACCCCTTCTGCATCACCCACCAAGGAAACCATAGGTGGGGAAGGTCCCAGGTCCTCGACCAAAAAAAAAAAAAAGGCCAAATATGAGAAAAGGAGCTTCTGGAAGTGGCCAGGGCCTAGCAGAGACCAGGCAAGACCACGTGCCCAGCACCTGAGTTGCCCCTTCCCTGGGCCTGGCCAGTCTGGAGGAGGCTGTGGCCGGTAAGCAGTGGATTTTGAGGGACAGAACCTGGAAGGGGCTCTGTGGCTGCTGGGCTTTCTCCCTCCTCCCTCTCTCAGGATCATTCAGTCCTGGGGCTGCAAACACCACCAGTACCCTGATGACGCAGGCCCTTTCTCCAGCCCGAGGGCGGCCTCTCTCCCTTGTAGATCCCCGCATCCCGTTCCTCCTGCCACACACACCTGGAGTCTGGGTGTGGCCAACACAGACCCCGCTCCTCCCAAACCTTTGCCAGTGATTCTGCCCAGAGGTGGGACTGCTCCTGATTTCCCAACTCTCTCAATCCAACCTATGGCTTCCCACCTGTCTACCCCAGAACTAGTCCTACGGCGGCCCAGCTCCCACCTCTCCATCCTTTCCCCCTGGCCTCCATTTCTCTCTGCACAGCCCCAACACTGAATTCTGCGCGGTGAGTCTTGCCTCTGCCAAAAGGTCTCCAATGGCTTCTCACCTGATGTAGCGTAGTCTTCTGGCGCCTTTGCCATTGGCCTCTACAGGGCTCTGACCGCATCTGCCCTGCTCATTGCTCAGCCCCACTGGCTGTTTTGCTGATCACAAGTCCTCATGACTAGGGACTTGCTATGGTGGCCCCGTGGTGGCTCCTGCCCTGGCCGGCCTCCCTAGACCCCTCCCTAGGGCTCCTCCCAGAGCACTCTGCCTGCCTGGCTCACAGCCCCTGCCATCTAGTGTGTCCATTGAGTCTCCGGCTGTGAGCTAAGTGCAGGATGTGGGGCGGCCATGCTCCCAGCTGCACCAAGGCAGGGTGGACGCAGCATGCTCTCGACATAGACACACGTGCAGCAGCAACGGATGGGAGGGAGGACAGGCGTCAGGCACTCCTGTCTGGGCCTGGACCTGGCTCTCCTTCAAACTCTGGATGTGACCCCTTCCCCACCACCCCTGCCCAGCCTCAGTCTTCCAGTTTGTATAAAGGGGCTGGATGTGTGGAGTGTGAATGATTAGCTTGACAGTCTGATTCTGGGCCTCCAGACACACACCATTCACACCCATAGTTGACACACTCAGAAACCTACTCACTTGCACTCAGATTTACCTTCACACATGCACATTTCCCCATCTGTCTGACACCCCTTTCCAGACCACAAAGCATTCTGAGCTCAGCCTCTGTCACACAGGGTTCCAGGTGTTTCCGGGGCTCAGCAGGGAGAAAGCCAGGATGTGCTCCCTGACCCTCGGCAGGGCAGGTGGAGAATGGATTCTCAGTCTCTGAGGTCGCCCCCTCCAGCTTGGGAGATGGAGGTGGGTGGGTGGCGGGCAGAGGCCTCCTCCCTATCCCCCTCTCCTAGAGCCTTGCCACTGTGGCACCCTCTGTCCTCCAGCCCTGCAGGGGCTCTGCTGCGGGGCCGGTGTGCAGGCTTGCAGGCTCTGGAGATGTCCCGGGATGCCTTGGCATGGGAGTGCCACTAGAGACAGGATTCCTCCTCGATTGACCTGCATGGGGGCTCCTGCTGCTTTGGGGGCTACTCTTCAGCAGCTGAGACAGGAAATGACCCCACCTCATCCCCCAGCCAGGACCTGAGGAGGAACTCACCTCTGACAGGTAGGCCTTGTTGCTGAACTTGTCAAAAACTTCAATGGTGATTTCATATAGGCGGCCAGTCTCTAGCACCCACCTGTCACCAGGATGAACAGTGAATCCTAAAACAGAAAGGGGGAGCCCGAGCACTCTGGCCGCAGGGGCAGCAGGGCAGAAGAGAATGGGACCACCACCCTCAGCACAGGAGCCCTCAGCATCCACCTGGGAAGCTCCACACCACCCACCTGTGGGCCCCACTCCACCCACCTGCGGGCCCCACACCACCCACCTGAAGACCCCACTCCACCCACCTGCGGGCCCCACACCACCCACCTGAAGACCCCACTCCACCCACCTGCGGACCCCACACCACCCACCTGCGGACCCCACACCACCCACTTGAAGACCCCACTCCACCCACCTGCGGGCCCCACACCACCCACCTGTGGGCCCCACTCCACCCACCTGCAGGCCCCACACCACCCACCTGAAGACCCCACTCTACCCACCTGCAGGCCCCACAACTCTGGCCCTTGCCTCCTCTGTGGAGAGGGACCTGCTGCTGAGGAGCAGAAGCTTGATGCCGCCTTCAGCCCTGAGTCCTGAACTGACCTTGTCAGGACCAACCCTGGACTCATCCCACTCTGTCTGATCAAGGCTTCTTCAAACTCATTCTTGTCCTCAGTGGGTCTATGCTCAGAATCCACAGCAGCTCTGTTCTCAACACGCAGCAGGTCTACACTCTGATCCCTCGACAGGTCTACGCTCTGAAACCTCGGCAGGTCTACACTCTGAACCCTCAGGAGGTCTACACTCTGAACCTTCGGCGGGTGCACGCTCAGAACCCTCGGCGGGTCTACCTTGAAGCCAAGTTTAGATATTAACCAGGAAAGCCAGCAGTCCAGTCTCCAGAGGATCTACCTCCCCTGTCCTGCAGGAGGGCTGCAGGAAAATGTTAAGCAATTCAACCTAACAAACATTTACCTGATGCCAGCTGGGCAAAGTCCAGTGTCAGACACAAAAGAGTCCAGAAGAATGAACTGATGCCAGTTTTGTCCTCCGAGTGCTGGTCTTGACAAGTCACAGTAGAAAATGTCCTCCACCCTAGGGTCAGTGAAGGGTCCACTGAAGAGCTGAGGAACATCGAAGGGAGAAACAAGTCCCACCTTGGGCAGCCAGGGTGGGCTCCCTGGAGGAGGGAACACCTGCGAGGCAATGCCAGAGGAAGCATGACTTCTGAAAGTAGAGTGCAGGAGGGGAAGGTGCTCCAGGTAGAAGAGGCAACATAGGGAAAGGTGAGGAGGGGGCATCTTTGGAATCCCTGAGCTAGTCCAGCTCTGCTGTGAGAACACTCACTGGAGACAGGCGCTCTGCAGGCGGCTACTGGCCAAAAAGGCAGATCCCAGCCACTTGGGGAGGGCCCCCAATGCCCAGGAAAATGCAGCAGCAGGAGACAGGCCGTGTGTCCAGGCGGAAAAGAGCTCAGGCAACAGTCAGACATCCTGGATCCCAGCCTCTGCTCAGCAACCCATGAGCTGTGTGACCGTGGGCAAGTTACTGAAGCTGAACCTCAGCTTCCTCGTCTATACAGTGGGCATCAGACCATTTGTAAGCATAAGACACTGCACTTACTAAGGGGACAACACACTGCCTGGCACTGTTGAGCAATTATCTTTCTGGACATTCATCAGTCTGGATAAGGCACATCCTTTCTGGGACTGCCAGACACTCAAAGCTTCCAAGAGTCAAGTTCATCTTCATGGTGAAGACTGACCAGAAGAGAGGTCGCAGGCTCAGAAAAAAGGCAAAAGGATGATGAAAATACTCATCAAAGTATTTCGGGGCAAGGAGGACCACTTAGAAAGCATTACGCCCTCATGGTGGGCGAGGAAGGGAGTTAACCATTTCCTTGATGCAAAGGTAGGCCCTTGACATGGGCTGTTGGTAAATGACCCAGTCTGTGGAGACCAGATAATGTTCTACTCTGGAACTGGCCGCAGGGGCCATCAGCCCTTCAGGAGTTGGGGGGAGTGTGAGAGGAAACTATCCAGAGGTGCCAGGATGTCCTGGCATAACAGTGGTCACAGAAGGCCCAGAACAGGCACCTCCCCAGTCCCAACATCTCCACAACCTGCCTGGGGAGAACGGATGCACACTTAGGAAAGAATTGACTTTAAAGGGGCTTAACTAGAACTACAGGATGAGCCATAGCAAGTGCTGGCCAAGACGTGGAGATCATGGCACCTTCACACACTGCCCCCGGGAATCTGAAAAGGGCAGCCACTTGGGAAATTGCCTGGCAGCTCCCAAACAGTTAAACACAGAGTTATTCTATGCTCCAGCAATTCCACTCCTAGGTGTCGACCCAAGAGACTGGAAAATACACGTCCACGTGTGAATGCTCTCACCAGCTTTATTCATAACCGCCAACATGTGAAAACAATGCAGAGTCCATCAAAGGATGAACAGAGAAACAAAACACCATTCACCCCTGCGATGGAAAGTTATTTAACAACAAAAAGGAACCAAGTGTGGATACACACAGCAACACAGATGAACTCTGAAAAACGTGCTCAGTGAGAGAAGCCAGTCACAAAAGACTGCACACATGGTTGTATACAGCTACACGCACTGTGACTCAATTCCCATGAAACGTCCAGAACGGGCAAATGCAAAGAGACAGAAAGCAGATTCGTGGTCATCAGGGGCTGGAAGAGGAGAGAATGGGGAGTGACTGCAATGAGTGTGGCGCTTCCTTTTGGGGTGATGAAAATGTTCTGAAGTTGGACACTGGTGATGGTTGCACAACTGTGAATCTACCAAAAAGTGCTGAATCGTACCCTTGAAATGGGTGAATTTCATGTGATATAAATCTTGATAAAAATAAACAGCTATTTTTTAAAAAGTGACTTAAGGCAGGAAACAGAACAGAGTAGTTATGAACAGGGATTGCAAACTACAGCCCCTGGGCCAAATCTATCCCCCTATTTCTATAAATAAAGTTTTATTAGAACACAGCCATGCCCATTCATTTCTGCATCATCTATGGCTGCTTTAGTGAGACAATGACAGAGCTGCATAGTTGCCACAGAGACCATATGGCCAGGAAAGTCCACAATATTTCCATCCAGCCCTCCACAGAAGGGTCAACTCTGGGGCCAGTCTCGGCTGCTTGCGAGCTCCGCATCTGTTGTGTGTGTGTGTGCACACTCGGGTGAGTGTGTGGGTATGTTCACTCTGTGCCTGCATCGTCGGGTTGCCAAACGGCAAATGAGCTAGGGTGTGTGAAGTGCTCCTAGGAAGGCCTGGCTGCAAGGTGGACTCAAACTTTGCCTGTTCTGCTCCCAAGAACAGCTTATGCTCCCAAAAGTCCTGCATACAAGCTTCCATAACCTCCTGCACCTACCCCTTCCTCTGCTTCCCTCTGCTTTGAGAAAAAGGTGAATCCCAAGCCAACAGGCAGGACCCTGTACACCATGCATCTCATCCTGCTCCATGCTTCAGTCTCCTCCAGGATGAAAGGACCTTTCGTGCCTGGCACACAGGATCTAAGTTCTGGACCAGGAAGCAAAACCCACCCCAAGAGCCGGAGCAGGAGGCATGGCCCAGCCAGCCTCTCCCAGCCTCCCACTGGGGCTGAGAATGCTGGCTTCCCCAAGACTGCTGCCCCAAGGACCAGCGCTGTGACCAGCAGGGTCTGGCTCCAGGGTCTGCCACAGCTCTGAGCACACCAGCCCCGCTGCAGGGGCCCCTGAGCGCCAGGAGTGGCCATGGCTCGATGCCACTAAGGGCTTGGGACCCACCTCGCAGGTGGATTCTGCCTCTTCAGCACCTCCCCTAGCAGCAACTTCACCTCCCTGACTGGAGCTGCCCTCCAGGGGACCTGCAGGGCTGGACACCAGAGAAGAGGGGAATACAGAGAGGCCAGGGTCATGGTGAGGGGACAATCTGGCATGGGCTGCAGCAGACAAACAGGCAGGGGGACGTCCTCACCCTCGGAGTCCAGGGCCTGGATCTTCAGCTCCAGTGGGGTCTTCCAGGTAGAGCTCACGGGTGGTGGAAACAATCTGGATGCCTTGGATGAGGTCCACGATGGCGTCACAGAGCAGGACCTGGCCTGTGGCTGGAGAGACCCCAGGGAGGGTCAGCACTAAAGACAGTCCCCACCCCTGGCTCTACCTCTAAGCCTTGCAGGCTTACACTCTGGCTAAGACCCCAGCGATCACCAACTTCACCCTCAGAAGCCAAGCAGCTGCCTTGCACACAGCCCCACTGAAAGTTAACAGGGACTTCCAGAAAGGAAGGGCTGTGGGGGCCTTGTCACCACCTGCTCTGGCTTTTCCAGCGGGGCACCAGCATTTAAAGCTGTGGGCAAAGGAAACCCTAGGAAAACTTAGTTTTGTTCAGGGTGTGACCATTCAGCGAAGTGACAAGGGCTGCAATTTGAAGAGTTCCCATCCCAGAGATGAGAGCCCTGTCCCTTCTCTGAGATTAGGGATTACGCTGGTGGTTTTGTTTATTTTCTTATTTTATTATTATTACTTTTTTGAGACCAAGTTTTGCTCTTTCCGCCCAGGCTGGAGTGCAATGGTGCCATCTCGGCTCACTGCAACCTCCACTTCCAGGTTCAAGCAATTCTTCTACTTCAGCCTCCTGAGTAACTGGGATTACATGCTCCGCCTAATTTTATTTATTTATTTATTTATTTTTGTATTTTTAGTAGAGACAGATTTTCACCATGTTGACCAGGCTGGTTTCTAACTCCTGACCTCAGGTGATTCTCCTGCCTTGGCTTCCAAAGTGCTGGGATTACAGGCCTGAGCCACCATGCCCAACCCGGTTTGTTTATTTTTGCTTCTTTTGAGACAGGGTCTCAATTTGTTGCCCAGGCTGGAGTGCAGTGGCTCCTGGGGTCAAGTGATTTTCCTGCCTTGGCCTCCCTAGTATCTGGGACCACAGGCATACACCACCATGCCTAGCTAATATTTAAAACATTTTTATAGAGTCAGAGTCTTGCATTGTTGCCTAGGCTGGTCTTACACTCCTGGGTTCAAGTAATTCTCCTGCCTTGGCCTCCCAAAATGCTAGGATTACAGGTGTGAGCCATTGTACCTGGCCTATGCTGGTGTATTTATATGATTACCAAATATATTATAGAAGGGGCGCATGGACACTCATACCGATTTTTTTTACTTGCTCTATAAATAAGGTACTTAAATGGCATTACCTGGGGAATTCTCAAATATAGGGATAGCAGTAGGATAAAAAATGTTTCTGACTGTTCTGTAGGTACCATATAGCAATACTTGTGCATTGTTAACATTGTTTTATTGGAAAGAAATACAGTCCCGTGTATCAAAAGCCTTAGAAATAGACTGAGCGAGGTGGCTCATGCCTGTAAGGGCACTCAGCCCTTACTGATGTCCTCTGCGAAGATGATGCTGGTGAGGCAGGCAGGCTGGGTCAGGTGGGCCTGCACCACCGCCTTCTGGGAGCACTGCTGCTCATCCAGGCCCAGCGGCTTGATACTGGCCACCTCCGGCTGGATGGACAAGCTGCAGTGGAGGAAGAGAGCTTTTACTCTCTAGAGCTGCACTGCAAGGCACAGCGGGGTCCAGACACCAGTCTGTGGCTCCCATCTGGGGTGCTGTCTTGGACTCAAAGACAGAATTGAGGTGGGCAGCCTAACACCAGCTTCAAACCCAGAGGAGACATGAGGCCCTGCCGAGGCTCCTCCAGTTAAGACCTCCACAACCTGAGGGCTGTGGGCCTGTGTGCACAGTCCCCATGGAGCAAATCAAACAGGAGACCTCAGACCTGGAAATGAACTCAAGGTTCAACAGATGGCCACCGTCCAAGACTCCTGCAGATGTGGGAGTCATTTCAATATCAGCAGGAAAGGGATCCCATGAGGGACACATGGCACAGGGAGGGAGCACAGGCATCTCAGCCAACCTCTAGCTCAGGTCAGGCACACAGCAGGCTGCGGGCATCAGCTTCCAACCCCAGCTGATTCTACTAATCCTGGAAATCACTGCCTGTAATGATAACCACAATCACGAGCGCCCAGCACCTGCGAAGCAAATATTATAGCCGTGGTGGGGCCGCAGGCAAATAAACACATCCACAAATGAACCTGACATTCTGTGAGTCAATTTCGCTAGGGGGGATAACAGGAGGAAGCCAAGTGTGTTAATGGCCCTGGGCCCAGGTGAGAGGGGGATGAGCGGCAGAGGACAGCAGACTCCACGCTGGGTGCTCCCAGGTAGCACGTGCTGTCTGCAGAAGGGCGCTCAGGCCTGGTGCACAGGTGGAGTGTGTGGTCTCTGAGGGAATGCAGGATCAAGGTGAGGCAGGGCCATGGCAAGCAGCCAGCCATGCTGCCCTCAGAGAGCGTACAGTGTGGCCAAAGCCCCAGGAGGGTCTACTGTGCAGTGCCTGGCGCTCGTCTCTTGGGGCTGCACCCAGCACAGCACCCAACACAAAGCAGACACGCCGGGGGTCTCCTCGTCCTCCCAACTTTGCCTAGACTCACTGTCAGAAACTGCCTGGTGTCAAAACACAATGGTACGGAACACACCCAGGCAGATGTCCCGCCTTCTGGCTGGATGCCAAGTGTCTCCCCAGGCCAGGCTGGCACAGGGGCCTCTCCAGCATGCCTGAGCACGCTGACCCCTCCGACACCGCCTGGCCACGCTGGGCTGCGGCAGGAGGCCTGCAGATGGACCTTATAGCCTGGACCACCTCTACTGGAAGTTCACGGAAAATGAGCCACACCTGGCTGGGCACAGTGGTTCATACCTGTAATCCCAGCACTTTGAGAGGGGCAGGCGGGCAGATCACGAGGTCAGGAGATGGAGACTCCCCTAGCTAACACGGTGAAACCCCGTCTCTACTAAAAATACAAAAAAATTAGCCGGGTGGTGGCGCACGCGCCTGTAGTCCCAGCAACCCAGAAGGCTGAGGTAGGAGAATTGCTTGAACCCGGAATTGCTTGAACTCAACTTCCGCTTGAGGCGGAAGTTGCAGTGAGCCGAGATCGTGTCACTGCGCTCCGGCCTGAGCAACAGTTAGAATGCGTCTCAAAAAAGGAAAAGAAAAGAAAAAAACAAGAGCCACACCCATCAGGAAAGGAAAGCAATCTACACCCTCGAGGAAGTGTGTCTGTGGCCCCTCGTGGATTTCTTCCAAGAAAATACACGCACAGACTCCGGTAAGTGTAAAGAAGGCACAAGCGTACACGGGAGACGGGAAGCAGGTGCCTGTGAACACGCCCCACACCGGCTGGAAACGCTCGGTCCAAGTGCTGATAGCACTGGGGTTCTATGGTGGTTTTCGAACGACGTTAAACTTCCCACACACCAGCACACAAAACAGAGTGTGAAAGGAGAACAAATTAGAAAATATACACGGGGCAGAGGAGACTAAGGAGAGGCCACAAATTCATACAACGTGGAGACCTGGATTCGATCTGAGGACAGAAAAAGGACCGTGGAAGAACTGGTGAAGCTGAAATCGTTTAGAATTCAGTGTGTATTCAGGTACCAATGGTGACCTCTTATTGTGATAAATGTGGCAGGGTTACATTAAGGACCCATACAGGCCTGAGATAGCCCTGCACAACAGACATGTAATACAGGCCACGTTTTCATTTTCTGTAAAAAAGTAACAGGTGAAAATAATTTTTATTCAACTTTGATTTCACAAGTGTTAGGTGCACAGCAAAACTGACCAGAAAGTATGCAGTTCCCACACACGCCCTGCCCAGCACATACACAGCTTCCCCCCCACCCGAATCTTCACCAGAGTGGTGTGTTGATTACGACAGGAGGAGCCCCCGGTGACCTCACAATCACTCAGAACCCTCAGCTGACATGAGGGTGCACACACAGCATCCCATGTCCTGGGGATTTGGACAGATGGATAATGGCCCGCACCTGCCATGACAGTGTCCTTCCAAACAGTGCCACTGGCCTAAAAGTCCTCTGTGCTCTGCTTGTTCCTATTTTTAAATCCCTAGTTGACAGGCCATATTTTACAAAGTAACAGGTTATTCAAATAATATATGTGATTTATCCAACACATCGCAAAGATTATGCTTCTGACATGTGGTGCCGGCTGCATTTTCAGAGCTTGCAGTCACACATCTTAGTCTGTTGGGGCTGCCATGACAAAATACCATAAGGGGGTCTTAGGACCACCCTCCTGACCCCGTCACCTCCCAAAGTCTCCACCTCCAGATGCCATCGCTTTGGGAATGAGGTTCCCACACATGAGTTTGTGGGGACACACAGACATTTGTTCACGTGGTAAGTGGCTCCAATGCTTGCCTGGCTTAGCCTCCCAAGTAGCTGGGACCACAGGTGTGTGACACCATGTCTGGCTGATTTTTTATTTATTTTATTATTATTTTTTGAGACTGAATCTTGCTCTGTTACCCAGGCTGGAGTGCACTGGCATGATCTTGGCTCACTGCAGCCTCTGTCTCCCGGGTTCAGGCAATTCTCCTTCCTCAGCCTTTCAAGTAGCTGGGATTACATGCTTGCGCCACCATGCCTGGCTAGTTTTTGTATTTTTAGTAGAGATAGGGTTTTGCCATGTTGGCCCGGCTAGTCTTGAACTCCTGACTTCAGGTGATCCACCCGCCTCGGCCTCCCAAAGTGCTGGGATTACAGGTGTGAGCCAACGAGCCTGGCCTTGATTTTTTTTTTTTTTTTTTTGAGACAGAATCTTGCCCAGGCTGGAGTGCAATGACTCGATCTCGGCTCACTGCAACTTCCATCTCCCAGGTTCAAGCAATTCTGCTTCAGCCTTCTGAGTAACTGGGATTACAGGCACGCACCACCATGCTTGGCTAATTTTTTAAATTGTTTCTTTAGTAGAGATGGGGTTTCACATCTTGGCCAGGCTGGTCTTGAACTCCTGACCTCATGATCCATCCACCTGCCTTGGCCTCCCAAAGTGCTGGGATTACAGGCGTGAGCCACCACACCTGGCCCTGGTGTTGATTTTTCAAATTTTTTTATAGTGATGGGGTTGTGCCATATTGCCCAGGCTGGTCTCAAACTCCCGGGCTCAAGTGGTCCTCCTGCCTCGACCTCCCTAAGTACTGGGATTACAGGTGGAGCCACCGAAGCCAGCCCAGTTTCTCATTTTGATGCTGGCTGCTGAAGGACACCCAGGGACAGACAGCAGATTTTCTTCACTGAGAATCAGTCCCCGTGTGCAACCTTTGTTTGAATGCATTATTGCCTTTTTCTTTTATTTTTTGTATTCCTCCAACAAAGTCTGGAAATGCATTCACAATGGAGAGAGCTGTTGACATCTTTATGTCAAAAGACCATGGAAAAAATAATTTATTCTCAGGCTAATCTTAGAATCTCTTTATCACTAGCTGCCTAGAGGAGCCCCTGAATCAAAGTAGGGCTTGGGAAGTTCTTGCAGTTTAGTGTACATTTAAAATACCCCCCAGACTGATTGCATTTGGGGAATAATCACATTCTTTAGATGAGACTATGTAGAAAGTCAACACAACACAGTGACCAAGGGTGTGGGTGCTGCTGCCTGATGGCCTGAAATCAAAGCCACCTGTGCCTGAAAATGTGACCTGGTCCCTCTGTCCTCAGTTCCCTGTTCCAGGATGTGGAAATGTGAACTAGGACCCACTTGTTACTGTTATGTTATTGAGGCTAAGGATAAGTTGATACCGAGAAGCCTGAAGAAAGATGCCCGGTCCTTCCTAAGTGCTGCCTACATCAGTGTTTGGTGGTTGCATGTCTGGGAAGATAAGTAAGGCGTGCAGCACTGATGGCCTGCAGATAAGGAATGTGGAAGGCGGCAGGCCGGGGGCACCGGGCCTCAATACTCCATGCAGGTGTGGGCATGGTGCTTCACAGCTCCTGGGACAAATCTTTTATCCCTGAGGGTAGAAGGTGGGCAGAAGAGGGGCTGTGACTCCTATTTTATGGTTCAGGGCGCTACAATTTAGAGATTCAGTGACTTTCCCACAGTCAATACACTGATGAATAATAAGTTTAAGGCAGAGAATATAGTTGGTTCCCTGGGAGTAGACATGCCTGACCATCTGGAATCAGGAGACCACACCCTGGATGCTGGACCAAGGCCTCTTCTCATTTCCTAAACCCTCCCTCCTCCAGGACTGCTGCAGGGTTATGCCCTGGAGGAGGTGCCTGGCCCGGAAGAAGGGCCCAAATCCTGACTTGACTCCTGGCTTGACATTTCAATCCCTGACCCCAAATGCAATGCTTTTCCCCCCAAATGGATCCCTGGTAAAGGACCAGGAAGTTCCAAATTGGTGCCCATCTGCCACGGGACTGGACTTTATGACTTGCCCTGTGGTGAGACCTCCCTGTGGTCTGGTGACCACCCTGAATGATCAGCAGCCTCCTTGACTCCCAACTGACTCAGAATCCAGAATATTCCAGAACTACTGCCCATATGACAGTTGTACCAAAAAAAAAAAAAAAAAAAAAAGAAAAAAAAAAGAAAACAGCTAACTTTGCTTTAACAGATGAAACAGGGATGATGAGCAGCTAAGATGGAACTGAGAGAGAGGCCTGTTGGGCTGGTGCTTAGGTGGCCAATGAATGAAGCCTGCAAGCCCCCAGGGTCTCACTGCCTGTGGATCTGAGCAGCTGCCTGTGCAGCCTGGACCCAGACCAGGCTGAGAAGGGGCAGCGGCTGCACCAGCTCTGAGTGGGCGCCCCCTCCTCCTACCCCACTTAATGGCTTCACCTCCTCCGTCCTTTCAGTGCAGTGACTGGCAGATGTCTGTGGCTCTCCCCTATGTTTTGGTTGAATGCCCACTGCAGTGCTGCTGAACCACTTCTGGGGGTGGGCAGTAGATTTCCTTAACTGCACACAGGTGACTTTTCTGGTGTATCCTGTATTTG